CACATTAAAAATTATACTGGGGGCTCCTCTTTCTTGGTAAATTCATAAGGCTACATTCATCATTACTTTTATCATTCAAAACTATATAAAAGTGGCTGTTGAGACAATATGTCAGACTTTAGCATCTAATCTGATTATTCTTCTTACTTTTAATAAACATTTATCAGCTCAGTGAGATGTATTCACCCTATTTCTTTGAAGGTGATGAAGGACTTGGTAGTAGAACTTTCGCACAATTACATGAGTGGAGCTGACGCTTTCATGAAATTTCATAGAGCCTTGCTTTCCCAAAAGTTGTTAGTATCCAAGGTGGATTGCAGTTTCGATCTCGCATCGGTCTTATCAACACTTCCAGCGGGAGTCGAACCGCGACAGTGCAACATGTGCGCTTGACAGAGAAGACACTCGGCCACATTGCCACGAGTCACAGGCCAGGCCTTTTCCCATACGAAAATTAAGTAATGTAGTCGATTGTTATAACAAAAATACATTTGCTTCATCTACAATCCCACCAAAAAATGTGATATTGGAAAAGGTCTGGCCTTCCTTGAAATCGACATCAGCCCTATGAAGCAAGAGCAGTCGTGGCAATGTGGCCGAGTGGGTACCTTGTCAAGCGCACATGCTGCACTGTCACAGTTCGACTTCCGCTGGGGGTGTTGACAAGACCGATGCGAGGTTGAAACTTCAATCCAGTCTGGATTAGAACAACTTTGGGGAAAGCAAGGCTCTGTGAAATTCAATGGAAGCGTCAAATCTACTCATGTAATTGTGGGAAAATTCTACAACCATTTCTTTATCACCTTAAACCAAATAGGATGAATACTTGTCATATTACTGATTTGCGGGCAGTCTCGAAACTCTACTTACATACAAAAATTTATCAGCTCTAGTTAATTGTCAGAAGAGCATTTTGCACACTGTATTACTGTTGCATAATTTACTTTTAGGGTAGTCCATCTAAGTAACCCATATTTAATTTATTTTCCAGTGTGAAGAGTTTCAAGCAGATAATTCATAGATCCAATTCGGTGAATCGTAAAAAAAGAATTTGGGTTGATTGGTGCCTAGTTGACTTTATCATCATTGCTAGTCCAGCCAATTAGTGCTTCACACGCTTGGCGAAAGCTCTGCGACCAAGTCGATCAAGCCCTCTATGGAGGAAATGTTCTTAGTTCCCTCCTAATATATGAAAATATTAGAAATGGTGTTGCAATAAATGTAGCAAATTTTGTAAATTTACAATGTTGAAAATTGTAATTAAAGAGTTGGAATAATCTCTAAAGTTAGCAGCATTAAAGAATATAAGTGATAAATAAATAAATAAATAAATAAATTATATATATATATACATATAGCTAATATAATTTTGTGATTATTAACATGTGACGAGCGACAGACATACTATAAAAAAAGTAATTATTATCAGCTTTGGCTCTCACCGAAGGCTCTCAAGTTCATCATCCTTTTCGCGCAGTCTTTGTTCCATCTCCGAGCGTAGGTGGCTGAGCGCAGTTTGTGCTGATTGGTACTTTTGCTCGGTATCGCGCAGCGCCTCTTCAGCATCGTGGAGAGCGGCGGCCAGATTGTCACGCTCAGCTTCGAGCTGAGAGCGCAGGGCTTCCAAGTCAGTCAGACGACGGTTGGCATCCCGAAGGGCATTCTTGGTTTCCTTTAATTGTTCTTATACAAGACAGGATAAAAGTATCAAGTAAATGAAAAACGAACCGACTAAACGATAAATAGCAATGGGTATGGATATAATTATTAGTCCAGAAGAATTGTTTATTTACTAGTTTAAAGACCAAATCAATTAAACGTAGTTATACAGCTTTTACGCGACCATAATCACACCCCTATTCAGGCATATTATCATTTCCAACAATATATCTAGTAATACATTAATAAATAAGCCTAAGTTAATCTATGCGTGCAAATATTTTCAGCCAATTGTAAAAAGTAACGGCATTGAATGCTTAAGCAAATGTGGAAATATATTTACGTATAAATATTAAATAATTGATTTAGGCTTATTTGATTGTAAAATATGCACGCCACTATGATCAATATGACTTAATAAAAAATAATGTTTTACTTGGCATTAATTTAATTATTTTTTCGTATTTTAGTAGAGTTACCAGACTACTTGTAGATCTCATATAAATTTAATGTTTGGAGTATTGATAATTTTTACTATCCATTAGAGGTTACTTATATAAAAATTAAGTAGAATATACTTTTGTACTACATATTTACCAGATAATTGACGATTTTCTCGATCCAAATTGTTGTTTTTGTCGGACAAATCGTTCACCTGTCCTTTAAGGCGCATATTATCCGCGGCAAGCTGTGAATTTGCACTGCTAAGGTTGTTCACTTCAATGATGAGCTCGTCGTTACGATGTTGCAGTTCTGCGGCCAGTTGTTCCGCTGCCTTGGCTCGTCTGGCCAACTCGGCATTCGCATTGGACAGCTAATGGGAGGTAATGACAATTAAGTAAATTCGTTGGGTCTTATAGGACATTTGACAAAAATTAGAATATGAAATAAGAAAATCTTCCCTCCTAAGCTAAATGTGAGTACTTATGGTTGATTATATACGGCAAATTGCATAAGAAGCACATCAAAATAATGAAAATCTTTTGTTTTATTAACTTATTTTGCCCTTCAAAAATCTAATGACTGCGAAGTAGATCCTTTTTACAATATAGAGAGAGATAATCCGATTTACATATCGTGAGTGATCAAGACATCTTTTGCTCAGAAATAGGCGATCAGTCTACACAACCGCCAGACGTTTTTTGGTCATAGAAATGAATTAAGAAGAAAATATGTGAGTAGAGAGCACTAAACTTTTTGTCGGAAGTTAAAGGTTAGTTATTTTTAAACCCACATTGTCCACTTCGACCTGTAGTTCTTTAATATCAATTGTCAACTTGTTCTTGGTCTTCTCCAGATTGGCTGCCCTCATTCGCTCGCGCTCTGAGATGTCTTCCAGCTCAGTTATCCGAATGGTCAATTTACGCCTGGGATGAAAATCGCATAAAAATGAAAATCATATGATGGTGGGGCTCAAGTTTGGCTATTAAAATTTAAAAAATAACCTGTGAACAAAAATATTGTGAACTACTATCCCCTCATTATTCGAGTTCGTATCAAGTTATTGAGGAAGTAAAATGCCATTTCATTGTATTTATAATCACCCAAATAAATGAAATATGATTATAGCTTGGCCTTCCAAGTTGGTTGATAAGCAAGTCAACTGATATCGGAACTAAAATTTAATTTACTTCTAAGGAGAGTTCAGTCTAAAAATTAAAAAAATTAATGTTTTTTTCTTTTTTTTTTTGCCTTGACTTACAATGATTTACTTTATAAGCAAATTCAGCAAATGTTACTTTGCTTAAGAATACAAGTATTTTAAGATGCTAAAAATACGTGAAAATTGTGTGAAATAAGT